TGCGGCTGCAGCGTCTCCTTCTGCCTTTCTGTCCTTTTATATCTCCTGTTAGTCCCACCTATCTTTCCTGCCTAGCCACGGCCGATCAGGTTTTATTTATTAACCAATCAGAGCATACAGACCATCCCCCAGCACAGCCAAGTGCAGACCATCTCAAACACCTGCACTCAGGCCCATGGTCCTAATCATAATCTATACGGACCTGCTGGGTAACGCCACAAAGAACCCAAGAAGGGCTCCCACAGGACATACAGAACATCCCACAGCAGTCAGAGCTGGCCTTGGGGGGAAACAACATGAACACAGGGCCCCAGATCACTGATGGTGGATCCCTGAACTCAGGCTCTGTCTCCCAGACCTTGCCTTGTCTCCACAGATGGGGTGTTCAGGGGGTGGCCTCAGGTGACCTGGAGGGCAGGGACTTGGCTACAAGGTGGAGTGGGACTAAAAGGCAGCAGGTGACAAGAGCATCCTCACAGGAGCTTCTAGAGAGAGGGTGAAGGGGGCTTTCTTCTCCCCAGATGGCATGTTTTCATTCCTGCCCTCTCCTCTCCAGAGCCTTTGGGGGCTCCCCGGGGGGCTGCTGGGTGCATGTTAGGGCATCCTCAGAAGCTCTGAGGCTCGTGGGAAGAAGGGGGCAAGCCTGGGCTTTCCGGGGGGGAAAACAAAGATGGAGAGATGAAGACTCAGGAGATCTATAGGGGGCATTGGTGCGGCTCTTGCTCCCGAAGGTGGTGACTCACTCTGACAGACAACCAATGAATGACCTGTCCTGAGGTCACTTGTACAGCCCCTGAGCGGGCTCTGCAGGTCCAGCTCTGAGGCTTTACCTAACCCCGTAGGTCTCAGATCCACAACACCCCCAACCTTGGTCAACCCAGTAAGGTCAGCCCAGAGTTGGGCCCAGAAATTCCAAGCCCTGCTGCCAAGAGCATCACGAGCCAGCTAGGGGGCCAAAGTGATCTCACTTCCTCTCTTTCAGCTTCATGCCGTCAGGTGCAGGGTCCATGACCGACCATCTCACGTGTGTCTTTGCCCTGGAAGTACAGACTTCCTAGAGTATGGTATTGAGGGTGATTCTCAAGTTACACTGTAGCTGTGTAGGATGGAGTGCTGGGATTGATTGCTCATGTCTGCCATGGGTGCAAATTTGGTGATAGTGGTATGCGTGTTATTTATTTGACATCTATTCTGATCTTGTTTGGGAGATCGGGGAGGAACATCTGGAATTGGAGCCCTTGTTTCTAATGATAATCAAGCGACCCCAGAGGTAGTAAGCTGGTTCCTTATCTGTTCAGTACTGGGAGCTTGTTTTGTTATCCTCAGTCCTGGGGTCACAGGGTTGGGTGGTTCCCAGAGCTTGAAATCTGGCAGACGAGATAAGAGTTGAACCACACAACTAGAAAACAAGATGGAAAATGCCCAGATCCTCACTAAGAGATGAACTCTGTCCCTCTCGGATAAAAGGGTGTGGAGGAGCCTGTGGTCCATGGATAGACGTGGAGGCTGGTGGGGAGAGGGACCACATGGGCCCCTTCCTTCTGAGGCTGGGGAGGGAGATGAGCTCCTGTGCCCCTCAGCTGGAGCTTCTTGAAGCTCAGCCTCTAAGCCACGGGAAGAGAACCTGGTTCAGGGTAGGCATTCTGGAAGCCTTGCTGTGGACCCTGCCCTTGCGAGGGATTAACACCATCGCTGAGGACTCCTTACAGAAGGCTGGTGTGCTGCTGTTCTTCAGGAGGCCCCCTGAGCACTCTCGACTGGCAGCTGCAGGAAGTGTTCCCTGAGCACCTGCTTTGTGGCTCCCTTAAGACATGGTTGGAGAAAACCCAGTGTGCTCTGATCCTGTGCTTAGAGCAACACAGTACCCACCCTGGTCCTGTGCCCTGGTACCGTGTGTGTGTGTGTGTGTGTGTGTGTGTGTGTGTGTGTGTGTGTGTGTGTGTGTGTTGAGCACCTGCTACACACCAGATGAACGAACATCCTTTCTGTCCGGCGTCATCCAGAGAGACCTAGTCGGGGATATGGGTGGGGAGGGCACAGATGTGCAAAGGTCAGAAGAGGGACTGAGTCCACACATTAGAGAAGCTACTGACTGTGAAGGAGACAGAGGACTTCCTTACATCCACGCTAATGCTGAGAAAACAGTAAGATCAGGAGAAACAGGCTGTCCAGGAAGACAGCGTTGAACCAGAGATCTCCACGAAGGAGGGAGCAAGAGAAACATCTCAGAAAGAGCCATCCGAGAAAGGGGTTGATGCAAAGACCCTGGGGCTGGGAATGAGCCCGGCATATGTGAGATCAGCAGAACTAGTGTAGAGCGTGAGAGACGGTGTGTACACCGGAAATGAGGTTCAGAGCGCAGCAGAGGCGCCATCAGATGGCCAGCTGTTTCTCTGTGCAAAGGCAGGATAGAGGCCAGGGGACACAGGGCAGCTGACCAGAGCTGGGAGTGGTAGTCAGGCAGGCCCCAGGGAAGCCTGTTCTCAGACCCTCAGCCAACCTGGGGGGCCCCCAAGAAGGCAGGGCAGGAGTGAAGGCTAGCCCCCACTGACTGGAGGTTCTGGGCGGCAGTGCATGTCCAGGGAGGTATTCTCGATGCCTGGGAGGAAGCGGTATCTCCCACATCAAAAGGGCCACCCCCCAAAGCTCCCACGCTTGGCGGCATGGGAACTGTGCCGCGGAAGGTTCTCGTCGGCAGTTTGCAGACTGCAAGAGGGTGTGTGCCACCTGGGGACTGTCCCCTACGACATAGAGATGCCGCACCATCAGGCCCCACAAAAGCCTCCCCCCTGTAGACGAGGCCTCTAAAAAAAAAAAAAAAAAAAAAAGACAAAGAAAAAAGTTTGTAAAGCTTTTCTTGAAATACAAGTGTGGCCAAGATCTCAAAAATCCTTTTCCTGGGGTTTCCCTGCCCACCTCCCAGGGACAGAGACTCAGCAAGATGGGGAACCATTTGGACCAGACTTTGGGCATCATATATCTTAAACAGCAATCTGACTATCCTGATTGATAGAGGCTGACTGGAGAGCTGTGTGATGGATTCTTTGGATTTCAGAGAGCTGTGATGGATTAGTCATGCCTGCCCCTGGTAGGAGATAAGTAGGTAGTGGTGTGTATGCTAAATATTTTCCTCCCTGCCCATATTATACACTGTCCTGAATAAGAAGAGGGGTGTTCTCATGAGGCAGAAAGAAAAGGGGAAGTGGGAAGGCAGAGATGAGGGCAGGACTTCAACTGGTGTGTCCACATGCAGTGTTTGTAGACAGGTGGGAAGAAAGGCTGGAAACCATGACCACTTCTCTTTGCTGCCCCGTAAGTATGAAGAGTAATAATTACGGTGGTGCTGTCCTCCAGCAAGGTCTTGGAGGGTGGTGACAAAGCCTGAGGCAGGTCACATGGGTGCTCAGCCCTTCTCATTTTGGGTCCTACCACACTGCAGAAGGAGAAGCTCTTGAATCCTCACAAGACTCCTCATTACAGGTAGGGAAACTGAGGCTCAGTGCCTTCATCCCACTTCCACTCAGGGCTCAGAGCATCCATCCTTCTTCCCTTTTCCCGCCTCCCATGGGAGCAATGATAATGATTTTAGATTGTCCCAGCCCCTTCCCCAAAGATGGGCCTAGATGATAATGGTATTGATGATGGTGATGGTGATGATGATGGTGGTAATGATGGTGATGGCAATGATGATAATAATGATGGTGGTGATAATGGTGATAGTGATGGTGGTGATGATGATGGTGGTGGTGATGATGATGATGGTGGTGATGGCAATGGTAGTGATATTAATAATGATGATGATTTCAGAATATTCCTTAGCTACCAGGATTCATGCTCCTCTCAGCAAACAAAACGCAGGCACCACATCATGCCCATTCCACAGACAGAGAAACTGGTACAGAGGCCGACATGATGTGCTGTGTGTCACCAGCTAATTAGTGGCTGAACTAAGAACCAAAAGCAACGATGACTGACCCCAAAAGACAAAGAATATTTTCTTTCCAGGGGCTCTTTATCTGAAGAGGGGACCGTGTGATCCCTGGTGTTAGGACATCTCACGAGCCTTTATTGTGCTCAAATAAGCTAAGAATCGTGGCGTGAGAGACAGTGTGGTATCTCCCAATGTACTCCTGAGTCCTTTCCAGAGTGTTTCGCAGGAACCGGCTCTCTATAGAACAAACCTTAAGAGAAGTTTACTCGATGATAGTTGGGTTTCAGGCCAGAGAAGGAGGGGTAACCGGGGCCCAAACACTCCCTGGTGGAAAGAGGCCATCTGTAGGGGGAAGAGGAGTTCGAGCCTGGGATGTGGTTCCCTTGATAGGGTGCTTGCCTCATCCTGAAGCTCCGGGTTCAATCCCCTGCACCACATAAAACTGGGTATGGTGGAACACACTTGCAACCTCAACGCATAGGAGGTGAAGGCATGAGGATCCGAAGTTCAAGGTCATCCTTGGCTACAGTGCAGGTTCAAGGCCAGCCTGGGATACATGACAGCATGTCTAAACACAAGAGTCAGAACTAGGCATAAGGGTGTTGGGCCCATAGCTGATAGGAGCTCAAGACGGGATGCGGTTTCCTGGTGGCTCATCCAGATGACAGAGGCAGAGGAGATGGGGTGTGCCAGGAGGAAGCCTGAGGTAAAAACAAGCCAGATCCTTGCATCGAGTGTTGGGGCTGGAGTCCAGCAGAGGCTTCCTCTCGTCCCCACAGTGTTCCTGCACTTCCTGTGAAGAACTTGAATGGCACCGGCCCTGTCCACCCAGCACTGGCCGGTAAGACCCAACCCAGTGAGGCCCCGCCCACCAGCCTCATGATTCCCCGCCCCTTGGGTGAACTGGTGGGTGGGCCCAAGTGCGGTCCTTCCCATTAGGTTAGCTTGGCTGCAACTTGGGGTGGTGGTGCCCTGGGGTAGGCAGGGTCAGAGTATGGGGGGACACCCTGTCTTCCATCCTCTGTGGCATCCACCTGCCCCATCAGTCCAACCGTGAAGGGAGGGCATGGCTTGTCACGACCCCACCCCTTATCACTACACCCCACCCCCCACCCCAGGGATGACGGGGATCCTGCTGTGTGCAGCCGGGCTGCCAGTGTGCCTGACTCGAGCCCCAAAACCCATCCTGCACCCGCCCCCTGTGAGCAAGAGCGACGTGAAGCCTGTTCCTGGAGTGCCCGGCGTGTGCCGCAAGACCAAGAAAAAGCACCTCAAGAAAAGTAGGCCCCGTGTGACCCCAATCACAATCCCAGTGCTCTTAGGACCCAGCAGGCACCTGCCTCTACTTACCCTCAGTTTGCCCTTCCCCCCCCCTTCCGGCCACTGCCCCACCTGCTCCCCAGTGCTTGACCCCCCCCACCTCACCCCTCCTGAGACATGTGCCCCCCATCTCTGCAGGTAAGAACCCTGAGGATGTGGTTCGGAGGTACATGCAGAAGGTGAAAAACCCACCTGATGAGGTGAGCCGACCAGGTGGGGGCCTCAGCTCCCAGGACCAGCTCCTCCCAGCCTCCCTCCCTCCTGCCCATCCTGGTTTCACAGTCCTCACCAGGCCCTGGGGAGGAGCCTAAGTGTTATAGCATCACACCAGTCCGTCCTTGTGGTGGGGGACCTGGCCCCACTTTTCCCCCAGGGTACTCTTGAGGAGGGAGAAGTGAGAAATATTTAGATAGAAATATAGAGGAGACAGACAGACAGAAACACAGGACAGCCTCGGGAGGGCCTGGGTCAAAACCCACCATCCCCTCCTGTCTCTTCTAAAGGGCTTTTATAGGAATGCCAAGGGGTGGAGCAAAAGACCTCGCCCAGCACAGTCAAGTGCAGACCATCCCAGATACCTGGTGACCTTGAACGTGGTCCAGCCATCCCGTAATGCAGCCCTGCTGTGTAAAGCAAGCTCAGCTCTCACTAGGAAACGTCTGTGGGCTCCCACACTTTGTGATGGATGGTTTTACGCCACATTTTCCATTCAGGGTTTTGCTTTGGGTAGTTAAGCATTTAACCCCTGCTCAGGGGCTGAGGAGGGAATCAGAGGCAAGGTTTCCCGCCTTCCCGTCTTCAGTGTCCTCCTGTGGCCCTTCCCATCCTTAGTGTCCCTCTGTGGCCTTCCTCATGACCCTCATCCTCAGTGTCCCTCCATGGCTCTACCCATCCTCTGTAGCGCGCCTCATCGTCTTCCCCATGGCCCTTCCCATCCTCAGTGTCTCTCCCTGGCCCCCCAGGACTGTACCATCTGTATGGAGCGGCTGGTCACAGCATCCGGCTATGAGGGTGTGCTCCGGAACAAGAGCGTGCGGCCCGAGCTCGTGGGCCGCCTGGGCCGCTGTGGCCACATGTACCACTTGCTCTGCCTGGTGGCCATGTACTCCAACGGTAACAAGGTGGGCCACAAGGTGGGCTGCCGTGCAGTGGGTGGGGGCCAGGCAGTGAGATGGGCAGTGGGTGGGGGCCGGGTGGGACACCCCCCCGGGGGGGGGGGGGGGCTCACACCAACCCACCCTTCCCAGGATGGCAGCCTGCAGTGCCCCACCTGCAAAGCCATCTACGGGGAGAAGACGGGGACGCAGCCTCCAGGGAAGATGGAATTTCACGTCATCCCGCACTCGCTGCCCGGCTTTGCAGACACCCAGACCATCCGCATTGTCTACGACATCCCCACGGGCATCCAGGTGAGCCCTGCGGATCCACGGCCCCCCACTCCCTGGCCCCTCCAGAGACTCCACCCGTCTGGGATCTGAACCCTCCCCCGGACGCTGCTGTCCCCACAGGGCCCTGAACATCCCAACCCAGGCAAGAAGTTCACCGCCAGAGGCTTCCCTCGCCACTGCTATCTACCGAACAATGAGAAAGGCCGGAAGGTGGGTGCCCACCCCCTCCCCGTCTCAACAATGAATGAGGGCAGGGTCCCCAGCCGCCATTTTCTAGGCCTGCCTCTCCCTTGTCCAAGTCCCTGCTGTGACGTTCCTTCCCAAACCAACTTCATCTCATTCACCAGCTAAGGAAAACAGTAGTAGAGAGGGCACGTCACTTACATACGGTCACAGCAGCCTTTCTCCCTAAGTCATCTGACTGTCACTGACTGTTTAACCAAAGAAGCTAGCACCTCCGATTTCCCTGCGAAGTCTCCAGACCTTTAATCACGGGAACTAATTCACCAAGCGGCTGTTTTGTACCAAGAGTGAAGGCGAAGCCCCAGCAGTACCGCTGCTGACAGGGCCCCCGAAAGAAACAGAACTTTCTGAAAAGGCCGGTCGCGGGGCAGGCTGAGGCCCAGGCTGCCAGTAACACTCACCCCTACCCCCACCCCTCCCTCCCTCCCCAACCCCTCCAGGTGCTGAGGTTGCTCATCACCGCCTGGGAGCGCAGACTCATCTTCACCATCGGCACATCCAATACCACGGGCGAGTCGGACACCGTGGTGTGGAACGAGATTCACCACAAGACGGAGTTCGGTTCCAACCTCACTGGCCACGGCTACCCCGACGCCAGCTACCTAGACAACGTGCTGGCCGAGCTCACCGCCCAGGGCGTGTCTGAGGCCATGTCTAAGGCCTGAGGCCTGAGTTGCCTGCCTTTCCTCTTGCTTTGCCCCTAGCCAGGCATAGGCCTCCCTCCAGCAGGTGGGAGGAGCCAGAAGCGCTAAGGGGTTCTGGCCGGTGGCTGTAGGGGGGTGACAGGGGAACGCCAGGCCAGCTGGCTCCAACAACCTGTGGCTCCCAGCAAGGGCAACAGAGACAGTATGGCCAGAGAGGGCAACCTCCCTATGGAAAAGATGAAGCTTTGCCCTTCACGCCACACACACACACACACACACACACACACACACACACACACACACGTCCTGTTGCACGCACACGCACACGCTCACGCACGTACACCCACGTGCCTCTGACTTCCCCCCTGTTTGCAGGGGATGGGGAGGAAAAGAGACAGAAAGGTTCCCATTGACAACACATCCCGTGGATCTCCCACTGTGTCTCCATCACATCTATGTAGGCTCGTCCCCTTCCCAGGATTTGGGCCAAGCCCTGGGGGAACGGGGAGTCTGTAAGGTTTCCAGGGGCCGGTCTGCCCCTGCGCCTCACCCTCTTAACCCATGCCAGCTCTGCCACCTGCCTGCCCACTGGGCACTGCAAGCCAATGGGGTCGAAATCCCAGGCTACAGAGTCGCTTTTCGCGGGCCACTGGGGACGAGGCTATCTTATTTTGTGCTTGTGTCTATTTATCTTCCTGGGACCCCCACCCCATCCCACCCTCTTCCTCCTGTGCCCATCTCTAGACCTCTGTGTATCCCAGGCAACGGCGTCATTCTTGCCTCTCTCTATGCCGGCTTCTCCCCCACAAAACCGCTCCGGACATTTGAGACCCAAAAGCTGTAGCTTCTGGCTTCAGGAGCGAGGGGAGGCCTTGTTTCAGGCCCACGCGTTGAAAATGGAGAGCAGGCGGCAAAGTGTTAAACTTCTCGCTCCTTGGAAGTGGGCAGTGGGTGGCTGATCGTCTCAGGCCAACCAGAGGCCCGTTGCCCAGGCAACTCACCAGCTCCGCCTCTGAGGATTGGCTGCTGCGATGGAAGTCAGCCAAGCTTTAAAGGGACGCCAGCGATTGCTCTTTTGAAAGGGAAAAAAAAAAATCTACCAGTCCCACTGTGGGTGGAGAAATAAATGGTCTTTCTCCTTGTCAGGCCTTTTTCTGCCAAGAGGGTGCTGGGTGACTGTGCTTCTAGGGAACACTGGGGAGAGACAGCTTGGGAGACAATGATAACCATTGGACCACTGCCCGGGGCCGCGGGAGAAAGCAGTGGATGGGCCCTGATACTGTGCTGTCTTGCAGCATCGAGGGAAGGAGGCAGAACTCTCGTGAGTCACTAAGGATGCAGAAGGGACGCGCACGCGCGTGCACACACACACAGCACAACACACACACACCCGAGTGACAAGGATGATCGGAACTCTGTGCGGCCCTCCAGGAGGATGTGGAAGAGCTGGGAGGTACCATATCGGCCCACCGATGCCACCCTGGCCATGGAACAAGGCAGAAGGAAAAGCTTTCCTCCTAACAGAGCCTCTGGCAGCCTAGGTGTACCCGAGCCAGTGGGAGATGATGCTCCGGCTCCAGGCGACCCCTGCTGGCCACATGTGGGATAGCGCTGCACCGTCCCTGGCGCTCCTGATCCAGCCGGTAGACTTGAGTTTCTTCAAGGAGTCTTCACGGGCTCTTCAGCTCTGCCAGCCGGGTGTTCCCAAACGTTTCGCCCTCTGTGGCTCACTCTTAAATCATATCCCAAGCCCACAGTCCAGACCTGTGAGCCCCGGCACTCAGATGCCTGCCCCCCAAAACCCTCAGTGGCCGGGTAGAGTCTGGGAACCTGTGCTTATGGCCAAGAATCTTCTCACTGGCCCCCAGGGTACCCCAATTTTAACACTTCACAGCTAAGCACACTCACTCGTCACTTTATACAGGATAAACTGAGGCTCAAAGAGGGAAAAAGAGCCCGTGTCCAGCTTCAAGGCTCTGAATCGGCATGCTGGGCTCCCACCCCAGTTCTGAGAACACCTGGTTCCAGAAGCTTGAGGTCGGGGCTGCCAGATGAGGGTGGGGTACAGAAGGTTCTGTGAGGTCACGGGACTCACAGAAGTGGAAACGGGGAGGTCTTGGTCAAGCCTATTTGGTGCTGGCCTGAGACAGGAGGAAAGCACACTCAGCTGTATCCAGCAGCTCGGGGTGAGCTGGGCTCCACCGGCACTGGCCGAGGGGCATCCAGTGAAGCCGAGACTCTGGGCTCAGAGAAGAGAGTGAGGTCTGGCCCAGTACAGGGCTGGACCCTGCCAAAGGCTCCCACGCCCTGGCTGGCCACAGGGCACACAGGACCAGGCTTTGCCTGGGAGGCTCCAGGCCACAACCGTGAAGAAGGGCAGCCTGGAGGAGATACCTGGGCCGACTGCCCTGGGGGAGGCCCTGTGACTCCTTGTCCTCGACTGGCTCTGGCACCTCCTCAGCATCCTAGCGGGCCACTCGCCCCTGCCCCTGCCTCTGGAACTCCTCGTGGGCTTGCTCCAAGTCTTCAAGTACCTGCAGCAGGTGGGTGATGGCGGCTCTCTGCCGAGCCAGAACCTCCACGCAGGCCCCTGGAGGGAAAGAGTAGGGTTCAGCAGGCTCTCGGTGGCTGTCACCAGAGCCCAGGGGCTTCCTGGGGCTGTAGTTTTATCCCGTGCAGGAAGGATCCCCAGATTCACCAGCACTGGAAACAGGAGGACATGGGGAGTGTGCTTGGCCAACTTGGGCACGATTGTGAAAGGGACGAGAATGGAACCCCCTCTCCCTTACCATCCGCGGCACCAGAGTCCTTCCCGGGGTCCACCTCCGGAGCTGGGTCCAGGCTGGAGTCCTCCAGCAACTTCAGCCTGAGGGTTGAGAGGAAAAGGGACAAAACTGTTTTCCAAGGCGCAGTGCTGCTCCTACCCAAGATTCTCTGCTGCTTGCAGGGGAAATCAGAGGTTCATCACCATCGCTCTCCTCATCACCACCATCACCGTCACCACCACCATCATCATCATCACCATCGCTATCATCACCATCACCATCACCACCACCGTCATACCATGATTATCACCACTATCGCCAGCATCATAACCACCACCATCACCACTATCACCATCATCACCATCACCATCGCTATCACCACCATCAACACCATCATCACCATCACCATCACCACCATCATCACCATCACTATATCATCATCACTATTGCTATCACTACCACCACCGTCATCATTATTATCACCATCATCACCACCACCATTACCATCACCACTATCACCACCACCATCACCATCACCACCACCATCATCACCATCACCACCATCACCACCACCATTACCATCACCACCATCATCACACCATGATTATCATCACCATCACACCACCATCATCACCATCACCATCGCCACCATTACCATCACCACCAGCATCATCCCAACCATCACCACTCCATCACCACAAACATTTCTAGATTAGCAGGCTCTACACCAAGAAGCCCTGCACATGCCCGAATTCACTTAATGGTACACAAGGCAGGTACATACCGGTAACGCTGCTCTCCAGATAAACCAAAGACACGCAGAGAGATTGAGGGACTTGCCTAAGTTCACACAGCACCATGATAGCTCCTACATGGGGGAAGCTATGTGGTGTCCTTTCACTGGGTTGGCTCTTGACTCTTAGGACAATACTGTGAAGCCAATGCCCTGTCCCCTCCTTTGCTATACGAGACACAGAGAAGTCAAGTGACTAGCTGAACACCACACAGCCACTAACTGGCCGGGTCAGTACAGAACCTTCCCTACAGGGGCTTGGTACACACCTGTCACTAACTAACAACTCTTCAAGCCAGGAAGAGGGAGGGAGTTATCCAAGGTACCAGGGAGGCTCAAAAGCCAAGTTAAAGAGACCAACCGTACCCAAATCTCTGCAGCTGCCATACTGTAAGCTCCCAAGCTCCCTGGGATAGTTTGAATGAGAACATCACTCACTAGCTCATAGGCATGAGTACTTGGCTCCCGGTTGGGGGAACTGTTTGGGAAGGATCAGGAGGTGTGGCCTTGATGGAGGAGGTGTGTCACTAGGGGTGGGCTATGAGGTTTCAAAAGATTCAAACTGTTCCCGGTCAGCTCTCTCTGCCTCACGCTTTGGGGTGGAGATGTGAGCTCTCAGCTGTTCCTGCTGCCATGTTTCTGGTCCGCCATCATGGACTCTGACCTCTGAAACCCCAGTCCCCAATTAAATGCTTTCTTTTAGACATTGCCTTGGCCATGGGGTCTTGTCACAGCAGTGAGACCTAAGACAACCTGTTGTGCCTTACAGATCATTCCAAGACCTGACTTCCTGGACACTGTGGCCCATGAGCCTCTGAAAGCTCAGCCAGAGTGCTGAAAGATGGATCAATAGGGCTTGGCTGAAGCTCAGTGGAGTGCAAGGCCATGAGTTCTACCCCAGCACTGACAAACAGAGAAAGAAAGGAAAGGCAACGGACTGGGCCTGCCGCTCAGCTCAGTTGGCAGGGAGTCTGCCCACCGTGCGTGAGCTCCAGACTCAGCCCCCAGCACCACATAAAGAAACCAGGCATGGGGGCGCACATCTGTAAGGCCAGACCAGGCATGGGGGAGCACATCTGTAAGGCCAGACCAGGCATGGGGGCGCACATCTGTAAGGCCAGACCAGGCATGGGGGCGCACATCTGTAAGGCCAGACCAGGCATGGGGGTGCACATCTGTAAGGCCAGACCAGGCATGGTGGCGCACATCTGTAAGGTCAGACCAGGCATGGCGGCACACACCTGTAAGGCCAGCACTGAGGAAGTACGAACAGGAAGGTCAGAAGTTTAAGATCAGGGCTGGCTGAGCAGAGGACCCGGGTTCAATTCCCAGCACCTACAGGACAGCTCACCACTGTCTGTAACTCCAGTTCCAGGGGACCCAACACCCATGATGAAACACCAATGCACATAAAATAAAAATAATTTTTAAAAACTACAATTAAAAAAAGAAGAAGAAGAAGAAATGTTTAAGGTCATCTGCTACACAGCAAGTTCAAGGCTAGCCTGGGCTAGCTGAAACCCTGGGGAGGGGGACATTTTCTAAGGGATACGTGAACGTAAAGAGGCCACAGTGGGGTGAGGCAGGTGACACCCACCTGAGTTGATCCCGCCCCAGGAGCAGCTGGCGATACACCGCCTGGGCCTCGGCGTCAGGATCCAGTGGGTCACTCCAGTCTCCCAGCGTGACGGCTGAGTGTGTGCGGCTGCAGCCGGCAGCTGAGGATATAAAGTACGGTCAAGAAAGTCTTGCTCCAGGCTAGCAGCCTCTGCCTCATTCTAGGCGGGGTGGTCGTCACGCCCTGCCTTCTTCAGTTTGCCCAATTCCTGTGCAAGCCTCTCCCTCCTCCAGTTAGTCAGGTCCCCCCTGTAGCTCCTGCCTGGGTTCCAGCCTCCTCCCCACCTCCACTCTGATTCAGAAGCTACGGCCTCACGAACCCCGGCCCTGCTCAGCTTTAACGGTCAACTTGACACACAGCCTAGACTCATCTGAGAAGAGAGTCTCGAATAACGGCATGCCCAGATCAGGTTGGCCCGTGGTCATGTCTGGGGCCGATTGTGTCGATTGGTAATTGATGCGCAAGGGCCCAGCCCACTGTGGGCGGCACCATTCCCTAGGCAGGTGGTCCGGGGCTGCATAAGAAAGCTGGCTAAGTGTGAGCCTGTGAGCGGGCCAGCGAGTGGTGTTCCTCCATGGCTTCTGCTTCAAGTTTCTGCCCTGACTTCTATCCCATGATCTAGAAATGTAAGCCAAATTAACCCTTTCTTCCCCTAAGGGCAGAAGGTTTCATCACAGAAACAGAAAGGACACTGAAGCGGACTGTATTGACCCGTGAGTCCTGCCTCAGCCCCCTTTGCTCAGCCTTGCACACCCTCGCTCACCATTGTCACGCAAAGCAACATCTCCTCCAGACAGCCTTCCCCAGTCCCTGCCCTGGGGCTGGGTCTCAGACACTCTCCAAGTCTCCCAAGCCTCAGTTTTGTGATTCTAACGCTATTATCATTGTCCGGATGGGGCCGGGATGGGGTCTGTGGTACAGCCAGCGCTCAGGGCCAGAGATTCATCCCAGCAACAGCATAGCAA